TATAACTGGAACCATTATGCACTATTGATGGAATTATAAATTAATAAAGCCACTATGGAAAACTGGGAAGGTGACATTTATAATCACCATCATTCTTCTCTTCCTCACAAGCCTGTTAGTGCTAGGCAGGAATGTGGAATAACTAACCACCAGATCTACTGATTTTTTTTTCAGAGAAGCCAGCAGTCCATGATTTGGGGTGTTTATTTTCTAGACTTTTTGTTTTCAATTTGCTGGCTAAGCCAGTTGTCACCCCCATAGGTCACTAATTTACAATCTCAGATCTATAGATTAAGAGCAATATTATTTATTAAGCAGGCAGTTACTGTTCTGCATTTTCCATTCATAATCCTCACACCAGCTTTCTAAGAGTAGGTATTTCAATAATGAGTTCAATCAGAGAAACAAAACCACTATTAGTATTAAAATATAAAGGAGGGCTGGGGTTGTAGCTCAGTGACAGAGCACTTACCTAGCACATGTGAAACACTGGATTCAATCCTCAGCACCTCATAAAAATGAATAAATAAAATCAAGGTATTGTGTCCATCTACAACTTTAAATTTAAAAAAATAATAAGGGATATATTATAGGAATACAATTTTACACAATTATGGAAGAAGATGGAGAAAAGCATACAAGGGGTAGTTAAGAGTCTGGATTAGAGAAAAGTTACCTACAAGCCATCATGAACACTGGCAGAGGTGGACAAGCCAGACCATACAGGGGAACCTAGAAAGCCAGATATCTCCTCTGCCTGGGTATGAATATAAGTAGAGAAGTGTGGAGGGCTATTACTCCTGTATCTGGCCCTGGTATCACCAGGGCAAAGAAAGAAGAATTTGGAAAAATAAAGCTAGCACCTCTGCCTTTGTTGTTATCTCCTTCATCTACAACTTGTGTAATGACTGCTGCTTCATTTCTGCTTTACATATCTCACTCAGATTTTTCTAACTTCAGATCATACAGTGAAGGGGTTTTTGGAAAAATAATTCTTGCTTAACAAAGTTGAAAAACCACCACAGTAATTATAGTCAGTTTTCTTAGAGATTTTGCTATTCCAGAGTGTCATAACCCACTTAATAAACCCATACTTTCCCATCAGCACTGTCCTACCTGTGTTCAGGTCCCTTAGTTTAGTCCAGAACTCATTTTCCTTCTAGCTTTACAGACCCATGTATGAATGATCCCTCCAGACACTCTAGGCTTAGAGAAAATGTATTCTTTAAACATTTGCACATTTTTCAACTTTGCTAATATTCTTTTTCCTTTCCTTCTCCTTGTTTTTTTTTCTTAATATTCAAAGAGTTTGACGTTTCTATGCCTTATTCCAGTGTCGCCTTTATAAAATTCCCATTGTCTTTTGTCCCCAACTGCTCCTGAGCAATTATTCCCTTTTTCATGTCTGTAGCACTTGGTCCATATCATGTTTATGGTACTTTCATTTGCCTCATCTTTGCTGCTAGATTGTAAGGTAATCATGTTTTATTCGTGTCTTTCTTTGTGTACCCCTGTACATTATAGTTGTCCAATTGGCATTCGATGACTTGGTCATCCTGTATTCCACTTTGCATCACTAGCCTGGAATGTCAAATTTGGAAATTATCTGCTACAGTTTGATAATAACCTAGTTTCTTCATGTGCTTTTCTTCCTTGTTCCCCAAAAATTATTTATGTTTTTTAATTTTGTTTTTCTCTTCAGCTTCTCTTGTCCAACTCGCTTAGCTATAGTTTGTCAGAAAAACTTAAGAGAGCTGGTGTGGTGGTGTATGTCTGTGATCCCAGCAACTGTAGGCTGAGTACTGGAGGATTTCAAGTTCAAGGCCAGCCTCAACTTAGTGAGACCCCTCTCTCAAAATTTAAAATAAAATAAAAAGGGCTGTGAATGTGGCTCAATTTTTAAGCACTCCTATGTTCAGTCCCCAGTAACCCCTTCCCCCAAAATGGAACAAAACAAAAAACTAAACAGACATAACCTAGACCATGATCATCAAATCTGGTGATTTTAAATGATGTTCCTATGGTAGAATAGTTTTAGAATTCCTTAATGTGCTTTGAAAGAATTGGATTTAACTACTTTCTTAGGGATAAAATTGTTTTTTTTCTTTCAAGACTTATAATAGAAAAATTCAGATAAATTAATTCATGGATTTTTTTATTTTTTATTTATTTATTTTAAACATTTATTTTTTAGTTGTAAGTGGACACAATACCTTTCTTTATTTTCTTTTTATGTGGTCCTGAGGATCGAACCCAGTGCCTCATGCATGCTAGGCGAGTGTTCTTCCTCTGAGCCACAACCCCAGCCCTGATTTTTTTTTTTTAAATCTCTGCTTTTTAAGCTAGAATAGAAATGTGGAATCTCGTTGTTCTTAATTTTATCTCAACATTCAATTCCCTTGAATTTATTTCACTTTACATTTTTCATGTGGTGTTTAAGTACAAAATGATGTACTTGTTTATGTGTCTTATTTATTTCATTTTCTCTAGCCATTTGATTGTTGACTACCCTAAATGACACATTTCAGAGGACATGGTTTCTTTTCAATATCTTAGTATATGCAAATGCTATAAGAATGCTTAAAACTGAGCTGTAAAACCTTATGCCAGCAAGTTAACCTGTAACTGTGAACACTGTTAAAATGTCAGTAGATCATAGAATGCAGAACTAAGGTCTGTAGTTCCTACTTCACCCTGCACCTGGAAGAACTGGACTAGATGTTTGTTAGGAGAAAACCTGTGGTTCCTTCCAACTGAAATATTTTATTACTGTGGTATTCTTCAAATTCTCCACAACTGCAGCATATCACTTCACATGGCAAATTTTTAAATTATTTCACTTGGAGAAGTTTCTTTTTTTATTCATTTACTTATGCATTCTTTAATATTCTCTTATTGTTATGTGCCTTAAAGAAGTAATTTTTAATGTCTTCAACTAAGGCAAAATGAATGAACAGAGCATAACCTTTCCTTAATGATTAAGATCATTGTTATGAGACATACTGTAGTATTACACTTTTAATGATAGTATTATACTCTTAATGATATAATCTTGAAGTATTGTGAAGTATGCAGAGTTTATTGACCTATGTAAGTTCTTATGCTTGTTTTTAATAATATTTCTTAATCTACTTATTAATGAGATGTTACTAGTTTTTGGTTTTTTTTCTACCATCTTCTAATGTTCTACTTTTAAACTACCACTTTAGAACTAGTTTTCAGAATTTTATGTGAAATGAGACTTTTTAAATTATTGGTTTATAATTGTACATATTAGTGGGATTCATTATGCCATATCCATACATTTCTTAACATAATTTGATCAGTCTCATTCCCTAATACCTTCTCTTTCCTCTCCTTCCTTCCTCCCCGATTCCACTTGCACTTCTTTCCTGATTGATCTTCCTTCTAGTAGTAGTAATAGTATTTGTTGTAATGCATTATGATTATATGTATAAGCAGGGTTCATTGTGGTATATTCATACATGGACATAGCATAATTTTGTTCACCATTACTTCAGTACACGCACCATCACTATCGCTTTTCTCTACCAAATAGATCTTGCTTGTTATCTCACAAAAACAAGAGACCCTTTTTAAGGGAACGTGGCTTACCTATTGGTAAATGAATTTTAGCTTGAAGCATAGACTTTGTAATAATTGCATCTGGATACTTAAAGCTCAAATTTACTTCTAGAGTTACCATTTCCAAAAACTGAGAAAAATAAAGTGTTCTTATTTTGAATTGTGACTGTTTTCATTAAAGAATCCTAAAAAGTAGTTTAGAGAGTAATACTTAAAGTGCCTCTTTTTTCCTTTTGTTTATCTTTAATAATAATTCTTGAAGAAATTAAAATTAGTCATTGAAAAGGAAATATGATTGTGGGTTGTTTAATAGAAATTATTCTAAAGTCTTATGATAAATTTGTTTTGCTTTTCTGTTTTAATTCACTCAAGACTAGAATACATCTCTCAACTAATTGGGGAAGATTCTAAAGATTAAATAATTGTTACTGTCAGTTATTATCATATAAGCAAGATTCATTGTGGTATATTCATTCATGGACATAGCACAATGTGGCAGATTTTGTTCCCCATTATTTCAACACACACACCATCACTATCACCTTGGATTTTCTAGAGGTGATACTCACTTTTCCTTAGAGAATACATCCAAGATTTGAAAGTTAAGAGATGAGACATATTATCTATTTAAATTTTTGAAATTAATAAAAAATCACTAGGTGAAATTAGAATAAATTGGAAAATAAGTATTTTCAAATTGTTTGGAGTTAACAAGAGATAATGCCAATGGAAAGTGTTGTGTCTTTTCTAGAAAAGTACTGACTTCATTTCCTAAGGTAAGTACAGTCATCCTTAGTACAAATAGGGGATTGTTCCAGGATCTCTGCAAATGCTGATGCTCAAGTCTCTTATATAAAATGGTGTGGTAATTGCATATAATGCTTTCCTGTATACTTTAAATAGTCTACACTATAATACCTAGTGCAATGTAAATGGCTATGTAGTTTTCGTATTGTTTAGGGAATAATGACAAGGGAAAAAAATCTGTTCTGTACAGGCACAATATTTTTTCAAATATTTTTGATCTTCATTTGGTTACATCCATGGATAAAGAACTCACAAATATAGAAGGTTAGACTCAGGTGATTAGTTGGACAGGGACTTTGTAGCGCCAGATTTTAGTTCCAAATTTGCCATTAACCATGTAATTTTGAACAAATTTCTTAGTCTTATTCTGAGTCTTACTTTTTCTCATAATCAGAATGATTCTTGTAGCTTTAAATTATTTTAAATTCTCTCTGTTTCATCAAATTAACACTAAAGACTTTAGTGATTATTTTGAAATCAATTGTCACTTAAATTTTATTTCACTGTTTTCTAGAATTATTTAACTCTTCCCCCTCCCCAGGCATTTTGTACTGTTTTTATAGGTATTTAATTTGAAGTTTTTAGCATTGTGTGGTTTTGATTAACAGGAGGATCTACTTTTTGTGGCATTGCGTCACTATGTCTAATGGGAAAACTAGAAGAAGTTTTTTCAGAAAAAGAATTGAACAGAATAAAGAGATGGTGCATAATGAGGCAACAAAATGGTTATCATGGGAGACCTAATAAACCCGTGGACACCTGTTATTCTTTTTGGGTAGGAGCAACTCTAAAGGTAAGAAAAATAATAAAAATGAGAAACCTGGACTTCATGTTAATTTAAAAATGTTTGATCTTAGTCATGTGCATTAAATGCTATTAAATTTAGACTACTGTTTTACTTGAAATTTTTCCATCTTAATAAAATTCAAGTGATAACAACTTGAGTCTATTACCTACTTAAAGTTTAGTAGCATTTGTTATTTATCACTTTCTAGTAATTACACTGTCATAAAAAGACTTGTTATTGAAACAGACTAGAGGTCCACGTAGTCCAAGCATCTGTCTGAAAGTGGTATCAGTAAAGATTGTATGGAAAGTTACTAATCTTAAATGGTTTTTCAAGGAATGAGCTGTGATTTATCTTTTTTTAAAGTTTTTCTGTTATTATTTTTGTCTAAGTCTTCCAAAACTCATTGACATGCCTCTTTTTACTTTTTGTTATTTAAAGACTGTATACTGTCATATATTCCCATCTTTACTACCTTTTAATATATTTAGTTTTAATATATTAGTTTACTATATTAATTCCATGAAGCTGTTGAGCCAATAAATATCTGTAAGTTTTATGTATCTTAAAAATAGCTTTTTACTTTTAAGAAGTATCACCTAGTTCCGATAGTCTAGAATCTAAATAGTCTGTATTCATCTTCTATGTAATATCCTAATTTTTTCCCTTAAACAAAATTTATGTATATGATTAAAACAAATTTAGAACAGAAAATTATTTAAAATGAAAGAAATAATGTCTGTTTCTCCTTCTAGTGCTATTTCTCACATGTGCTAGTTTTATTTATTTTTTAATCATGGGAAATTTTTAAAAGTACTCAAAACTAGGGGGAATGTTTTACTTGAAATTTTTCCATCTTAATAAAATTCAAGTGATAACAACTTGGTATGGTATTTGCATATAATGCTTTCCTGTATACTTTGTATAAATATCCATCAACCATTATCAATATTTATCCCTAAACTAGTCTTTCTTTAACCATACTTGTCCTATTTCTCTCCCATTCACCATATTATTTGAAAGCAAATCTGAGATATATTATCTGGAAATTCTTCAGTATAATCTCTGAATGAAAAACAGCTTTTTAAAAAAACAGAACCTTAGGGCTGGGAATATAGCTCAGTTGGTCGAGAGCTTGCCTCGCATGCACAAGACCCTAAGTTCAATCCCCAGCACTATGAAAGAAGAAAAAAAAAAAAAAACAACCCAAAACACACAACCTTAGTAGCATCACATCCAAAAAATCAGCCACAATTGCTTATTATCATTAAATATCCAATCCATGATGGTATATATTTCCCATTACATTATATCAAGAAGCACATATCTGGTGGTTTCTCCTTTTATTTCTCCTTTTATCAGAGGGCTTCAAAATTGCCATCCTGATTTCTTCCATTAAGTTTCCATCAATTTTTTTGTTTTTCTACTTGTTTTATTGTGAAATATATATACTTGTCAGTTTAACAATTTGTAAGTATGTAAATCAGTGGTATTTATATTCACAATGTTGTAAAACCATCACCACCATCTGTACTGACTTTTTCATCACCCACAACATAAATTCTGTATTCATTAAATCATTAAACAATAACTTCCTATTCTCTTCTCCCAGCCCCTGCTAACATCTGTTCTACTGATTCTGTGAATTTGTCTGTTTAGTTACTTCATAAAAGTGGAGTCAGACTACTTGTCCTTCTGTTATCTGCCTTATTTCACTTAGCATATGTTTTCAGGGTCCATGTTTTATAGCTTATATCAAATTGTTGTTCCTTTTTATGACTGAATAATATTCCATTATATGTCTATGCCACATTTTGCTTATTTTTTATGATCACTTGGGTTGTTACCACTTATTGGTTGTGTGAATAAGGTTGCTATGAACATGCTGTACAATATATGATCGAGTCCTTGTTTTCATATTTGGGAATGTTAGACCCAGGAGTTGAATTGCTGGGTCATACTTTTTGAGGACCCACCAAACTGTATCCCACAGCAACTGCCCTGTTTTGTATTCCACAATCCTCACCAACATTTTCTTCTATTTTGTGGTGGTTGTTGTCATTCAGTTGGTTCTTGTGGGTCTGATGTGGTTATCTCATTGTGGTTTTGATTTATTTTTCCTGAGTAATTACTGATGTTGAACATTATCATTGTTACTGAGTTACAAGAGTTGTTTATTCTACATGTTAGTCCCTTAGCAGATAATATGGTTTGAATTTTTTTTCTTCCATTTCTCAACTTGCCTTTTTACTCTGTTCATAATAATTTAATGAACAAAAATTTTTAATTTTGATGTAGTCCAGTTTAATCTGTTTTTTAATTTGACATCTATAAAATTATTGTCCAATCGGAGTCATAAAGATTTTTCCTAGTGTTTTTTTTCCTAATAGTTTTATAGTTGTAGTTGTTTATAAATAGTCTTTTTGTCAATCTTGAGGTAATTTTTATACATGACATAAAGTAAGATCCAATGTCATTCTTTTACATGTCAGGTTTCCCAGCATCTCTTTGATAGTCTTGGCATCCGTGTCAAATCAATTAACCATATAGGTGAGGATTATTAAAACTTTGTAATAAGTTTTAAAATCAAGAAATGTACCCCTTCTAACTTCCATTGTTTTTAGGATTGTTTTGGCTGTTGGGGCCCCTTGCAGTTTCATATGAATTTTGGTGATTGAGTCCCATTTATTAAAAAAGAAAAAAAAAAAAAGCTTCTGGAATTTTGATAGGGATTGTGTATATATATATAGATATCCAAAGGTTGTATTGACATCTTGACAATGTTAATGAGCATGGGATGTCTTTCTATTTATATAGGTGGTCTTTAATTTCTTCCAGAAATGTTTTATGGTTTTTAGTGCATAGGTTTTTCATCTCCTTGGCTAGATCTATTTCTAAGTACTATTTAATTATTTTAAATGCTTATAAATAGAATCGCTCTTAAAATTTGCATTTGGATATTTATTGTTAATGTTTAGAAACCCATCAACTCTTATGGAGTGGTTTTAGCAGCTATTGAATATATCACATCACTTGTGTCAGTAAGGGATTATAAACAGTGATAGTCTTATCATTCCTTCTAAATTTATTAACATTCCTTTATAAATAATTTTACCTTAACATGAGTATAGTTTGTACAGAGAAAGGCAGATTATTTCTTTATAATTTTAATAGTGTATGGCATAGTAGGTTGGTTCCCTAGTATCCCCTCAAGTTTTCCAATGAAATGGGGTGGTTTTTTTTTTTTTTTTGTAATATCTTTGTGAACTCATATATTTTAATGTTTTCATTCTTTATGTTTTTCTTTTTTTTTTTTTAAAGAGAGAGAGAGAGAGAATTTTAATATTTATTTTTTAGTTTTCGGCAGACACAACATCTTTGTATGTGGTGCTGAGGATCGAACCCGGGCTGCACACATGCCAGGCGAGCGCGCTACCGCTTGAGCCACATCCCCAGCCCCTCTATATGTTTTTCAATGTTTCAGTTGTCCCATCTGTGGTCTCTTGAAGATTTTTGCTGTGACTTCAGCAACCACTTTTAGACATTTCTTTTGTAGTTTTTGTGGACATTGCTGTAACTTTATAAGCTGGTTTTATTTATTTCTTGTTTTGGTACCAGGGGATGAACTCAGGGGCGCTTAACCACTGAGCCACATCCCCAGCCTTTTTTGTAAATATTTTATTTAGAGATATGGTCTCACTAAATTGCTTAGGGCCTAATCTTATAAAAGTTGCTGAGGCTGGATTTGAACTTGTGATCCTCCTGCTTCAGCTTCCTGAGCCACTGGGATTAGAGGCATACACAACCATGTTCAGCCTATGCTGATTTCTTAACAGCTTTAAACGTTTTCTTTTAGCTATGAAATATTTAGGATTTAGGCTCCCTTTTTTTTCCAGCATATTGTTGTTGACTACATTATATTTACTTCTGAAACTTTCCTCCTACCCTCTAAAACTGTCACATTCAGTAACTATTCATATGGTGTGATTACTATCGGATCTTTTGTGTTTTCCCTATAAGTAAAATTCTACACTTCGGAAACCAGTAATAAACACCTATTATGACAATGTAAATATTGTTCATTGTTGAAGCAAGTACTGTATTGGATTATAATTTCTTGGACTGGAGATGTAGCTCAATGCTACAGCACTTGTCTAGCATGCACAGGCCCAATCCCCCATAGTATAAATTTCTTCTTTTAGGTAATAATGGGAAATGTGTCAGTCTTATGCCACTGAATGAGAAATGTGTCAGTCTCTTTCCTTATATTCTATTCATTGAATCAAAATATGTAAGTTTGTTTCTTATTTGTATTATAATTTTCTTAAAGGTAATTTTTTGAGAAATAATCCTTGTTCATCAGTCACTAATATCTTTCCTGGTTCTCTGATTTATGAGTACACTTGAAACTACTTGCATCTTCAGAAATTTCTTGAACCCTTACCTACTGTCTACCACTTCTTTGTGCCTGTCACAGTTTTTTTTTTTTTTTTCTTTTTAATGGTTCTTCAGAGAGAAGATAAATCCATGACATAAATCATTAAGCTACAAAGTTTTTTTATGTTGCAGTCATATTTGTCTCACTTTTATCTTTCCTAACTATAGAGCTGTAATTTTTTACTTTTCTCATATAAAACTATCTCTAGCATCTGGTTCATGATTTTGCTTTCTTTTTTTTTTTTTTTAATATTTTGAGTTCTAGTTACTATTTGCAACAAATAGATCAAAAGCCTATCAGAAAAGTTAAAATATGATTAGATAAAATAGTTCTTTTTTAAATGGCTGATTATGTTGAGTAGATTGAGGAAGTTATGTTTTGAATGTAGCTTAATGTGGTACAAAGAGCCTAGTTGCACCTGGTTCAGAGAAGGAAATAGCAAATCAATAAAAGGAGAGTAGACTTTGCAAAGAAGATTAAAAAAAAAAATAGATCATGTAGCTAACTAATTTTAAGTGCTGAAAAGTCCTGAGATTTCCTCTGTGAGCCTTAGCTAGAGAAAAGCATATCTAAATGATGCATACCTGAAATGTGAACCAAAGACCAATATAAAAGTTTTATATCAATTAATTTTGTCATTTCAGCTTCTGAAAATTTTTCAATACACTAACTTTGAGAAAAATAGAAATTACATCTTATCAACTCAAGATCGCCTTGTAGGGGGATTTGCCAAATGGCCAGATAGTCATCCAGGTAATTATTTTCTGTATGAATACAGAATAGTTTTTATTTTTTGTGTAGATCTTTAACTTCTTTTCTACAAAGATCAGTTGCTAACTTGGACATTTGTGTAAATATTTAAAAATTTATAAAACTATTGAGTTTTTTACAGATAGATTACCGTGTCTCTGATTACAGTTTCTCTGGAGCCTATACACCAGAGAGTTCTAGTAAGTCTAGTAGCAGATTTGACATGAGGAGATTTTTATATACTTTTATGGAAGGAACTTTTGTAAAAAGTGACTTTTATTATGAAGTAAATACATCTTTACCTTATTAAGTTAAAGTAGGTAGTGTCATCACCTACAGATAAGACTTTTTTAAAGAAACTATTTGAGATTTGAAACAAGTTCTGTTCTTTTTGACTTAAAAATTTTTTTGAGGGGGAAAAAAAAGCTTTACTTCATCTGTAAATATTTTAATTTAATTAATATAAGATTCTATTTTTTATTATTCTATATGTATATTATGCCTCTTCCCTTACTCCTCCTTTCTGTGGTACTTGGAATAGAACCCCAAGGTACTCTACACTCTACTACTGAGCTATATCCCCTAGCCATTTTTATTTTGAGACTGGGTTTCCTTAAGTTCCCCAGGCTGGCCTCAAGCTTGAAATTCTCCTGCCTCAGCCTACAGCATAGCTGGAATTACAGGAATGTGAAGCTGAGCCTGACACTTTCATGCTTTCTTTTTCACCTTTTTTCCTGGAACAATTTTCTAGTTTCTAAAAAATGAACCTCATTGTTGCTTTGTGCGCCTTATAATTTTAAAATAACTCTATGAAATAACATAACAGTACAAAGGAAATTAAGCTTAATATTTCTAGTCTGAAAATTATAGGAAATAAAGCCAGAATAAAACTAAGCAGTAATGCTTAATGAAGTTTGATTTGGTAAGATGTTTTGAAGTTTAATAGATCTTAATGTCATACATGCTGGCCAGTTCAAAAATAAGAAAAAATCTTGGCCACTGCAAAACTGTTCTTTTATAATGTTCCCACAACAACACAGTTCTGAGCTTTTCAGAATTTTTTTTTTTTAAAGAGAGAGAATTTTTTTTTTTAATATTTAGTTTTTAGTTATCGGCGGACACAACATCTTTGTTTGTATGTGGTGCTGAGGATCGAACCCAGGCCGCACGCATGCCAGGCGAACGCGCCACCGCTTGAGCCACATCCCCAGCCCCAGAATTTTTTAAATAAGGCTCCAGGAGACAAATGATTTCAGTCTCTACACTTTTTTTTTTTTTTTTTTTTTTTTTAAGAAGATTGGTGTCCCCTTGAAGATGTGAAAGTGTAGTGAGGCCACTACAAAAGAATTGTTATTGTAACCAAATAGAATGTGAGTTTGCTTGCTTGTTTGTGGTCAGGTCAGATATTTTTAGAATGGCTGACATAATCCTAAATAGAAGAATTAAATATGAGACAACATTCCAGAATGCATTATTTTTAGATTTAACACAATATTAGTATATGGTTTAAGAATTGCCATACTTAAAACTTAAAGGTAGGAGGGTAAGCTGTATTGCTTAGATTCAGAGGTAGACTTATTTTCCTTTCTAATATAGAGTGACAGGCATTTGTTTCCATTTTGTGTAATAAGCAAAAGGAAAAACCCACTAAAGTGAGAGGTCTTTTATATTACTGCTATTCTTTCTTTGTTCTCAGAGAATATTGGTAATTGCATCTTCTCTTGTTGTAACTGTTCTTAGTTATTAATAATTTCATTAATAAAATATTTTAATATCCGATTTGTTTTAATTGGTTTTTGAAACTGAGAAAGTAAGCATTTCAAAAACTGTATTTTGCCTTTCTTAAAATATAATTTTAATGTAGATTTTTTTGTAGCTAAAATATTTTGTAGCATGTACAGATGCCTGTTAGGATTTTTTAAATGTCTTCTTTTCAGATGCTTTGCATGCATACTTTGGGATCTGTGGCCTGTCACTAATGGAGGAAAGTGGAATTTGTAAAGTTCATCCTGCTCTGAATGTAAGCACACGGACTTCTGAACGCCTTAGAGATCTTCATCAAAGCTGGAAAAACAAGGACTCTAAACAGTGCTCAGAGAATGTACATATCTCCACATGACTGATTTTAGATTAGGGGGGTGGGATTTGTAGCCTAACTGTAGCTCAAGGTTAAAAGCCATGTATAACCAAGTGTGCTCTTTTTTTAAGGGATAGAGTCTTACAATCAAAACTCATACTGATATCACTTTGGAAAATGGTCTTGAGCCAGTAACCTTTGTACTAGGTTTCAAGAAAATCTTTGTTGAAGTTTGAACCACATTGGATTCTGTTGTGGTTCTTAAATGTTTATACAATATTTCTAAGAAGTTCTTTGAGGTAAATTAACTGTATGTATGTAGGTTATCTTTTTTAAAACTCCTAGTACAAATTGTATCTTATATAAAGTGAACACAAATCTTCAAAACAAGTTTGTACTTCATATAGCATTGATAATCTTCAGTTGAGGACTTAATGATCATTTAAAAATCTTGACTGCTGATGTTAAAAAAAATTGCATTAATGAATTAAGTATCTGGGATTAGTCTTTGAAAACAGATGATCCCATAATTTTTTTTTTTTTTTTACAGAATGGCTTATTTTATCTTATTCTGAAGTGTGCCAATTAAACGTATGTGGCCAATATAAATGAAATTAATGACTGGAAAAAAGTAAATAAGCCTAATTAATAAGATAGTTTTCTAAAGGGAGATTGTTTTAAGAAAACTATTATGTAACTGAGGAAAGAGTAATTTAATTGTGATTATGAAAGAGAAAGTTTTGTGCTGTGTGGATCTTTATGTATATGTAGACATTGCTGGTGTGACTACCAGTTATGTTTTATTTTAATCTCATATCATTAGTTGTCTTTTCTAGGGGTGGGGGAGAAAACATTCTTATATAGAAGGAAAAGCATTTAGTGTTTCTGTTTATATTTCTAAGATTCATGATACTGAAAATTATACTTTTCTAATAGTTACTTTTAGCCATTTAAAATTTTTGTTGACACCAGTGTGTTATTAGCTGTTCTTATTTCAAACTATCTGGTTGCGCATCCCTAATCCAACAATCTGAAATCTAGAATAGTTCAAAATCCAAACTTTTTGAGTGCCAACATGACACTCAAGTAGAAAATTATCTGACCTCTTACGACAGATTACAGTGAAAATGTAATAAACACAGTAAAAATGTATAAAATTAGCTTCAGCTATTTATGTAAGGTATATATGAAACAAATTCATTGTGTTCTGACTTAGGTCTCATTCACAAGATATTATGTATATGCACATATTCTAAAATCTGGGGAAAAAATGAAAATCGAAATCACTTCTGATCCTAAGCATTTTGGATAAGGAATATTCGACCTGAAATAATTTTCTAGCTTTTTCAAATTAAATAAAAAATTTAAATGCAAAAACAGAACCTCCCAAATAAATTCAATGGTGCAGCTCCATACATAGTCATAGTAGTTTATATTTTTATATTTTCAGGTAAGTGGCAGGGGAATGTAACCATTTAGAGGATAAGAATTAGAGTTGCATTTTTGTTCATTACTTTGTATTAATTCAGTGAATTAGCTAATCACAAAGGTGATGTTGTAAAGACTCTACATTAGTAGTCAACCTGTCAATAAATCACATCTATCACTTAGTCACTTTCAGAGATATGAGTCTGATACTGATATGAAGAAGGAAATCTCACTAATGGAGCTAGATTTAAGTTAATCTTGGTAATGATAAAAGTTGAATCATTAGTTCTACAGACATCAATATAAAAACTAAGTTGTGTTCTCTTTAAGAATTACAAATATTTTCAATTTATTTAATTTCTTGCCTAATTTCAAGAATATTCTAAAATAACCCTTCCCAAGGGAAACCTAGCATGTACTTGGAAAAATGATTTGTTTATTAGAATCATTGGTATGTTTAGTTTTAAACTGGAATTTGCAAAATCAGATGTATTTTATTAGAAATAAAATAGTGCTGGGGGTAGCTCAGTGATTCAGTGTTTGTCTAGCATTTGTGATGCCCTGAGTTCAATCCCCAGCTTCAGAAACAAAAGGAAGAAAAAAATCTTCCAGTGGTAGGGAAAAAAATAGACTTATCAAAAGATATTATTCTTCCATGAGTTATTCAAGTTGCTTTTAAATCCTCACAATTTAAGATATCCGTATCTCAAAGTCAGTCATCTATTAGAGGTTGAGAGTTAAAATAACATGTATATAATGGCTTTATGAGTATGTAGAAATCCCACATTTTTCCTGAGTCACTAACAAGGTTAGAAGATAAGAAAAGTACTAATAGTAATTATATTCATAAATGAAAGTTAAGTGAATTCTAATGTAAAAGTCATTTATAAAACTGTTAGATATTTTCTAACTCCTTGAATAATTTAATAGCAAAAGAATATTAATAATAGAATGATTCTAATTGATACACACTGAGAGACAAAGTTTCTTGTGAAACTTTAGAGGCCAGTGAATGTTCACTTTTCACCAAAACATACTGACCAAAAAATACTGGGCTGTTGTGAGTTTTGGAAAGACTATTTCTAACTTTTTAAAAATAATTCACAAGAAAAGTATTGATTAATAAAGTAAATTATATACAATATTTTATAAATATACTTGGTTCTTTAGAAGTAGTGGTGGAATGAGAAGAAAACTATGAAGATCAAACTCAAATAACTGTTCCCAGGGTCTAAATTTTCTCTTCTCTAGCAGTTTTTGGTTTGGTGGGGGTTTTTTGGTTTTGTTTTTGTTTTTGTTTTTGTTTTTGAAGATAGTAGAAGTTACTGTTAACCTGTTTACTATCTATAGTGTGTTAAATTTGATTTGTAATATGTATTGAGGATTTTTTTTAGACTCTTATTCATAAGTAACCTAAATTCAAGTAGAAATTTTGCTAATAGAGGTATGTAGTTTGAAAATTCTTGGACCTGATCATATTGGATTGTTAATGAGAAGATGCTCTGGAATCAGGTGGTTTGGGTTTATATCTCAAATCTGCCAGTTCAGCATTATCTTGGACCCCAGGTACCCCATTGGTAAAATGAGGAAAATATTAAAACTTAATTTACAGGATTGGTTAAGAATTAAATGAGGTGTTACATGTAAACACTTAGCATAGTGCCTGAAATACAGCATATTCTTAATTATAGTGTCATAATCACAAAATTATTTTTAAAGCCTCTAATCTACAATAAAGGTCTTAACAGAATGTAAACTCAGGGAAGATGATGGCAGCAGTGTAGTTTTTAATCTCTCCATAAGAAGACAGAGTAATTGGGGTAGCCACAGACACACTGTCTACAAAACTAGATGGCAGGGAATTCCTATGAACCTGATAATACAAGTAAAAGAATAAAACGCTGACTCACGTGGTTTCACCATCTGTGAGGAAGGCAGCTGGTTTCTGAGCCTTGCAAGTTAGAGAACTATGACAGTATGCAGAGCTGCTCACTACAAAGTGCAGTGGGCCACCTGAGAATAGATGCTAAAATGGGGAAGAGTTCTACAGAGTCCCATCTGCAGGCAGGTGAGTCTTAAAGCAATATGATAAGGTCTGATGGTTACACTAGAGCAGCCTGGGTTTTATACTGTGTACTTTTTGAAAGTAATAAGACAACACTGCAAAAAACTGCTGAAATTAGAATCCAGGGTGGACAAGACAGGTACAATAGGATTAAAAAAAGAGAGAGAAGTAGTCAAGAAGGCCAGTAGATAAAAATATATAAACACGGAAACACAATCATTTAAATCAATGTGGGGTGGAGAGGGGAAGGAGTTCTGGGATTGTGAAGCTGAAAAAGTTAACCTAGAGTACCCCTTCTTCCCAAAAGCATAGGAAAACTCACTTTTTTAAAAAACTAAACAAGATTGCTGTCCATTGACATTCAAAGTTAGTATAAGAAATAGGAAATAAGTACATCAACATCCCATAGACAATGAAAACACACCAGAGAGACATGATTTAAGACATATAGAAACCTAATGCTTCAAAACAAAAAGCAGTTATGAGAGCAATTATAGTGTCTGTATGGTATCAGTAGTCTTAAAAGCTGAAGTAAACACAATTAAGGAATTAGTAAAGATAAAAGCAAAAAGTATTGATCCCAGCATTGCAGAGAAAACCAAAAGTAATTGGTAGAAAACCAGAACAGTAGAGCCAATAAACTGACAAGCTGATTCTTTGGGTTGGCGGATGAAGCTCAATTAAATACACAAACTATCAACTGATTTGTTTTTTAAAAAGGAGGGGGAGAGGAAGCACAAATAAGAAAAACTTAAAATGACAAGGGGGGATAACCATAAAACAAGATTTTTTTAACTGATTTTTTAATACAAGTTAGAAAGCTTTATAAAGAAAAATGCAAATTGCCAAAATTTAATACATACAGAAAACCAAACAAACTAGGCATAGAAGAAACAAGTAATTAAAGGATCTCCTACCAAAAATAAGCATTTAGACCCAGATTGTCATTCTTACCATACATTTAAGATCAGATATTCCCAGTGTTGCTTAAACAAGTCCAAGGAGTAGACAGAAGAATCTTGAACCTTAAATTGAAAAAAAAAAACTTTCCAAGTTCATTTTGTTAATGAGTATAATAGTACTTATTAGAAAACCTGACAAATAGTGTACCAAAAATAAAATACTAGTCCAATGAATATCAATGCATAAAGTTTAATGATTTACTAGCAAACAATCCAATAGCACTTTGAAAAAGTATTAATCATGACTGAGTTCAGTATATATTAGGAAATGCAAGGATAATCCAATATTAGAAAATATATTACAAGCAAAAGAAAAAATTATGGTTATCTTTGCAGAAGACATCTGATAGAATTAAGTACTCAAGGTGTAGAAACTGATTAATATCTTATTAACATTGTATTTATGCCCCAGAGTGGCATTCCAACCAAACTCAGGAACAAGACATGCCCACTGTCTCCTCTACTGTTTAACACTGTGTTCATAATTTAAACAAAGAAAGTTAAACAAAACAAAGACATGAACTAATAAAAAGGTAAAGCTGTTTACAGATATGATTATATGTATTTGGAAAACCCAAAGCAATTTTTATATAAATTATATATACTATAAAAGAACTTAATGATAGCTATTAAGTACAGTTAACAAATAATCAGTAGCCTTCACCAGTCACAGAGTGTATACTATGATTCTATTAATTAAGTTCAGAACAGGCAAAGTTCATGTGTGTTTTAAGAAATCACTTCTTTCAGCTTCTACCTCCCTTCTGAAAGGTAAGTGCTACCGAGACTTAATCATCAATTAATTTTGCCTGGTTTTGAACTTTATATAAGTGGACCATGTTGTATACTATATTTTTTTCCTGGCTTCTTTGGCTCTAGAAGAGAATACAAGGAGGCTCTATGGTGCTGGTAATGTTTTGTTTTATGATCCTAGGTGCTGGTTACATAGGTGCATTCATTTAATGAATATTAAGCTGTATACATGATTTCAGCACTGTTCTGTATGTATAATTATAGATAAATAAAAATATCTTAAAAAAGAATAAAAGACTATATGTGTGTATATGTATATATACACACAAACCTAAATTAGATTCAGATCAAGAGAAGACCCCCGTTGTGATTGCAAAAAAAAAAAAAAAAAAAAAATGTATAAACCTGATGTCTAAAACCTATATGAGAAATCTTTTTGTTCAAAACAGTAAGACTTGAAATACCCTCTCCCCCAAAAAATAGACTTGAACAAGTAAAATACTATACCATATTCTTAGATACGAACATTCAATATCAAAACAGGATTTTCTCCTTAGCTTAATTTGTAAATTTAATGACATCCCATTAATGTTATGCATGTTATCATTTGAGATAACATATTAGAATAACCTGGAGGAAAAAAGAATGAGAGGGCACCAACTCTACCAGACATTAAAATATACTCTGAATTCTCCTTTGTAAAAAGCATCGGAATTAAACATGTGCACTCTTTTTTTTTTAGTGGACAGAAAAACAATTTATTGATTCAGAAAATGTGCCCATCACTACCGCCAGGAACAGCTGTCTTCTGTTTAGATACGTGATACATTCATTTTTTTTTAATATTTCTTTTTTCATTGTTGGTTGTTCAAAACATTACAAATTTCTTGACATATCATATTCCACACTTTGATTCAAGTGGGTTATGAACTCCCACCTTCACCCCATACACAGATTGCAGAATCACATCAGTTACACATCCATTGATTTACATATTGCCATA